CTTGGTGAAAAATGGAAGAGAAACATAGAGCAAGGCAAGAGGTTTGGTTTTTCTCCAGTAGAATATTTTGTTATAATATTTCAATAGAAAAACAAAAACGTTTCTCTAACAGGCATTAGACACAAAATATGCCTTGAGAACACTTGTAGTTTTTTCTACATCACCCATTTTCTGGCTTGAAATTTTTTGGCAAATGTTTGATTTCAAAGTGAATTAACTTCTAGGTGAGTTTTTTAAACTTTTTTTGTGTGTGTGGTACTGGGGATCGAACTAGGGTCCTTGCATTTGCAAGGCAGACAGTGGAACCACTGAGCTAAATCCCCAGCAGAGTTTTCTAAACTTTAAAGATGGACAGTTATGCACCATGCAATGAGCGATGAAAGAAGACAATGTTTTCAGCAAGCACATACCTCTTGCATATGTAGGCATTCAAGTAAGCAAGTGAATATTAATTTTAATACTCAACATTTTACATCCATGGCAAAGGAATTCTAGGCTGCCAAACTTGTGTTCTCCAAAACCTACAATAACCATTTTAAAGAACAACTAACCTAATATATCAACCTAATATGCAGAACTACTTTTCTAAAATTGAGCACTTTAGGCTAAAAATATTAATTGCAAACACATTTCATTCAGTTCTTCCAAAAAATCTAAACCCATAGACAGATTTTTGTTTTGACAGTACTGTGATTCTAAGAAAATGGGGGGTGGTTAAGAGAATTATGTTAAAATATGTATGTTGTATTTCTTCTAACTAGCAGAAACTTGGTCTTGGCAAATTCTACTTGACAGAGTGCCTGTTCAGAAACGATTCTTATGCTTTCCTAGTGAAAGAAATAACCTATGCATCCCTCACTTTTGTGCATGTTCCACCACCAAAAGATTCTTATTTGTCTGAAACTAAACTTCATTCTCTGTTCCTTCCAAAAGGAGCAACTGGGCAAAAGAATAAGTTGCTGAAAATAGCCATGGACACTAATAATGAACATAACTACTTTTCAGAAGGTGTCCAGTCAAAATATACCTACTTACACAAAACTTTGCCTTTTAAAAAATGGCTAAATTAGTGGCTTATAAGGATATGATACATTGCCTACTCAATGCTTTCTAATAATAAAGACCTTCTGTTTGTCATACAAGAGAATAGTGAGATGAGTATAGTGTTCTTTAATATTAGTTCATATCTTTCCTCAAGATTTCAACCGATCATCTTCTTCATAGTTGTTGTACTTTCTACTCAGTTGATAATTTTTCTGTCATTTTTATTGACTTTTAAATATTGTTAGTTAACAACAGTTTAGGTGATTACCCTATCATTTGAGATGATTTTGGCTGTAAATAGTAGAAAATTCCAACTCAAGTGGAATTAGACAATAAAGATATTTTTTTTCCCCATCTCTGGTAGCCGAACAAGTAAAGTATATTTCAGGTAGAAGAAACAGCAACTCAATGACCTCATCAGGAATTTATTGCTTCCTGTATATCTGTTCTGACATTCTTTGTCCTAAGACCAGATCTCCTCACTGGGGCAAGATGGCTTTTGGTGACCACAGGGAGTTAATGTATATTTCCTTGTTCATGATGGGAGGGAGAACAAGGGAGAGAAAAGGAGAAAGAGAGGGAGAGAAGGAGCGAGGAAATAGAGAGACAGAGACAGTTAGGCAGACAGACAGATAATCTGTTGGGCCAATGTTAGCCATAGGCTCATTTTGGGACCAATATCAATTTCCTGGGCAATGATATGCCCAACATTGGGTTAGACTTAACTAGAATTTCTCCAGTGAAAAGGATGAGGTGAATGCCTGCATAAAACTAAAGGTTATGAAAGGAAGGAGTATTGTTGGGCAGGCAATCAGTATGAGAATTACCTGATATTCACTTTTATTTTATGGTATAATTAGCAAACATTATTTGCATTTTAAGATTTTATGGAACCAAAACTGTGCTGTGACTAATTTTTGGAATAATGGCTGCCTTTGCTTTCATAAGAAAATTGTAGCAAAGGAAACTTAAAAACACAGCTATTCAAATTAAATTAAATTAAAATGTCTTAAATCATAAGAATGTGGTCATTTAACTATTCACGCATTCCAAAGGCAACTTCATGAATTAGGTGTAATGTGGTATGCTATGGACTGTTGGAGTTTGAATAATTATCTTACTAGATTAACACATTTTGGTATGTTTTTCCTTCCCATCACTCTAATATTTTTTTCCTTCAAATTCCTACTAGATTTTTTTTCTTTTTCATAAGATAATGACATCTTAGTTACATGGCCATGTCATTAGGTTTCTATATAATGACATTAGCAGAGATCCTCTGAAGTGATTGACATAAGAGAGATTCCAAGGAAAATGCTGTTTTGAAAGAGCATGGTCTGATGATAATGACAATGCTCTATGCAAGATATTATATAAATTTGGTAATTATACAGTGTTGACAACAATGAAATGTATGGCTTGATGGTATTAACTTTGATTTGACTCAGATTACAACTTGCAAGTAAGACCCCATGAACAATAATCATCCATTCAAGTGACAATGGCTGAAATCTAAGTAACAGTAATTTATGTCAACTGTGTTTTTAAGCCAAGCATGACACTTTCTATCTTGTCACCTATTTTTGATGAATCTTGTTTATTTCACTGAAATCCTTAATTCAACATAAAATATTTTTATAGTTTTTCTTTCAAATCACTCTTCTGGTAGATTCCGCTTATGGTTAAGTTGAGAAGTACAATGATTTATTAAGTTGTTACATTGTCTTTTATATATAATTTGCATGAAGTCAAGGGAGAGAAGGAATGCCTTTAACTATGAAGTAGGTCCCTAATTAAGTTTTAAAGGTACAGAAATTTGACAGCTGGCAAAGGTTTTATTGGAACAGACTTTATTGGCCAGCTGAGTTTATACTTATTTTCAGAACACAATGTATCTCTAACTGTTCTAAGTAGAATTTATTCACTCCACAGAAATAATAATCATAGAACTCCAAGTACAGTCTAGTCTCTTCTTGACAGTAATGCCACTCTTGCCTCCCGTTTCTGCTCTCCTTGGATCGCTTCTGATGTAATATTCTTTTCTGACTTTCTTCCTATTACTGTGCACTCATCTTTTGTATCCTTTGCTGGTTCTTTTTTTGTTCCCTCAGCACTTAAATGAAATCATTCCTTAAGGTTCTCTTCTACTCATCTTTCCTAGCCTCTTCCCCTGAATCCTCTCTCTTAGATTTGGGGACTTATAAACAACCTCATTTATTTCTCCCAGTTTCAGAGCCTGGAAAGTATAAGATCAACACACGGGCACATTTGGTGTCTGAAGGCCTACTTCTTGGCCCATTGATAATGCCTTCTTGCTGTGTTCTCACAAGGCAGAAGGGACAAACAAGCTCCCTCTGGCCTCTTTGACAAAGCAAAATCCCATTCATGAAGGTCAGCCTTTATGATGTAAGACCTTCCAAAGACCTTATCTCTTAATAGCTGAACATCATTAAATAGATTTCAACATATGCATTTTGAAGAAAACAAAACCATAGCATCCCAGGAATCTCCTAAAAAAAAAAAAAGCAACCCAGGTGATTTTATGTGGAAAATGAGGGGACCACACTGTGAAAGAATCCTTTTAATTCTTTCCTTTAAAATTTGTGTCAGAGTCTCCATGAGTCCTTCAATATTTTAAATGGTCTCTGAAACTTTTGAGGTATTCTTATCCTGTTTTAAGCAGCTTCTCATTGAACAGGGTCTTAGGCAAAAACTGTGTGATAATCTAAAGAATTCTACCATGCTTAGAGTAGCAGGTATTCACTAAAAATGGGAGACTGAGAGACTGAATTAATGGAATATTATGAGAGGTCATATGTTAGACAGCTCTGCATCACTGTGACAAAATACATGGGAGAATCAAAAGAGGGGTTTATTTTATTAATGATTTTACAGATTTCACTTCATGATCAGCTATATCCATTTCTCTTAGGCCTCCAGTGAAGTAGAAACACCGTGGAAGAAGTGGGTGGTGGGAGAAAGCTGCTCACCTAATGGCAGACAGGAAGTACAAAGAGCAAGGGGGACAGAGAAGACCAGCCTAAGTCCGCAAGGTCACAGCCTCATAGCCCACTCCCTTCTGCCAGGTCCCATGTTCTATTTCTATCACTTCTCAATAATTTCATCAGAGTATGATCACTTTAGGAATTAATTCACTGGTGAAGTTCAAGGCCTCGTGATTCAATCACCTTGAAAAAGTCCATTCTCCAAAGTATGAGATTTTGCTGGGAGAATTTAGATTGAAACCATAACAGTCTTATCTGATGCCCTCCATAAACTAATTTCCTAGTGTAGACTCAGTGCATACCATGAGTGAAATGACAGCACAGCGTGGCATACTGTAAAAGGGCCTGAGGCCAAGTGTGCCCTGTGTCTCTGATATTCCCAAAGGAAAAATAGGTAGATTATCTTCTTGGCCTCAAAGATCAACTTGTTGGGCTTCAAGAGGAGGAGATGTATGTGGTAATAGTGAAAGAGGAAGAGAGATCGAGGAGGAGAAGGAAGAGAGGGAGGAGTGGGGATAACAGAGAGTCAGGGACATCTTTGATGGGAAGAGTCTCACCTCAGGGCTATGTACATTCTGTTCCATTCTTGTAACTCACCAGCAGTCTTCAGACCTGTGGTTTGGCTTCTCTGGCCAAGTCTGCAGGGCCCAGAATACTGACCTCAACTTGGATAAACTTGGGATCAAATGCCAATCTCTGAATCACATTACTAAAAATATGGAACAACGCAGCATTTGTACCTCTCTGAGGCACCCATAACCACATTTCCAGTATTGTACATTGTCTGATCAACATAAATACCAGGAGAAATATTGCTGCACTGTGAAGTAATTATTAAAATGGGTAATTCATATATATAAGTATTCCTAGGATTTAACCTCCATAATAGGATGTAAGAGTCTATGAGTGAGTGGTAACTTAATGCTGTCTTCTGTGATTTTCTGTTTTTAGCTCATCTAATCCAGAATAATGGAGAAAGTCGCATGGTTTTCTGCAGGTGAGCCTTGAGATGGGATAGATGTTGACTGAAGGAATTTCTCTCACTTCCTGGGCATACATTTCCTAGATGTATTTGCAGTGGGAAATGGATGGAGGTGGTTTCATGTGCCGGACTTGACATCAGTGGATATTGGAGGTCAGAGCTACCCATAACGTCAAGTCACACAGCATGTGATTTTTTCACATGCAGTTCCTCATGCTCTCCTCCCATTCCTGGCTTGGAGAGAGGAGAATGAAGTCTTGAAACACAGTGCTGTCACTGGATGGCCAGAGACTGTGTCCTTTCAGGACTGTGTTGAGCAGAAGCCAGGTTGACCTTGTTTGATTTTGATGTGAGCTAGTGGCAGCGCCTTGTCAGGCTGCTATAACAAACCACCATAAACAGATGATTTATTAACAGGCATTTCTCACACTTTTGGAGGCTGGGAAGTCCAACATCAAGGCATCAACAGATTTGTGGTCTGGTGTGGGCTCACTTTCTCATTTATAGGTGGCGGTCTTTTCACTCTGGCCTTGCATAAGAGGAGGGTGGGGGTGAGGGTCCCTCTCTGGTCTCCTTTGCGAGGACTCTAACCCTTATGCCCCTGTGACCTAATTACTGCTTGAAGTCTTTGCTGCCTAATATCATCAGTGTAGGGGTGAGGAGTTGTACAGGTGGATGTCAGGAGCACACAAAGATCCAGACCATAGTGTTGAGCAGATGCGTGATAAGTGGCTGCTGACATCTTCCGGGTTGTAGAGCGTTAAGAGCAGACGCAGACTGGAGAACAGGGCTGCCTGGCTAAGAGGGGAAGCAGCTTCCCAGCCAGCAGGAGACTGCTGTCAATGTAATTACCTCCCAAGGGCTTAGCTTCCTATTGCCACAAGATTACAATTTCAACATATGAAATTGGGGGTAGGGGACATGTGTATTCAGTCTATCACAGAAGGCAGTGAATTCGTAATGTGCTTACCCACCAAGATTGGAAGGTGAATTAGTATACACCTCTTGCTGAAGGTCTATTTCCTAATATGTCAGGAGGCCTCACTTTTCCAGCATATATTTCATGTCCCAACACGAGAGCTTGAGTCCCATATAGATATATATATATATATATATATGTCCACCTCTGGAATTCAGAACCATCTTCATCTTTGGTTAATGTAGCAGATGCATCAAAGTCCATTTGCGATAGACTGTTTTATATTCTTACAGAGAAAATATTAATCCTCTGGGATGAGATGTAGGAAGACAAACTTGCCTGATTAGAAAGAAGTGATAGTGTGAAGAAAGTTTTTGCTCTGAATAGGGTTTATGGCTTTTTAAAAAATTCATCCCTGGCTAGATTCCAGCTGCCTGGATCTTTGAGGAGTGGGTGGGGGATGGAGGGAGGGAGGGAGGAAAGATAGAAGGTGGGAAGAGAGAGGGAGAGAGAGGGAGAGAGAGGGAGAGAGAAAGAGAGGGAGGGAGAGAGAGATTGAGAGATTGTGTAGTCTACAATCAGTGTCTCTTTGCTTCTCTGTGGAAAGCCCACTTTTTCAAAGTGAAATAAATGGCTCAGTTCCTATTTTTCAGGGTTTGTAGGGTCTTGGAACATGGCTGTGTTCGGATGGGTATGCACCCCACCTTACAGTCTTTACAGCCACAAGGAGCTTTCTGTCCAGGAGGTGGAGTGAACAGTCTAACGGCCTGCAGTCCATCACTGCTCCTGAGTGCTCATAATTTATGACTGTGTCTTCCATGGGAAAATGGTGTCTCAGTTCTCGGAAAGAAGTCTTCTAAATGGTCGGGCCTCAGGTCTTTCCACATCCTCCATCAGAGGTCCTGCTGCCCTCAGCCTGGTTGGAGCGGTAGAAGTCAATTTCCTTGAGGAATCTCTTACAGCTGGATTCTTTTAACCCCTAAAAAGCCATCCTAGGGATTGGGTTAGTGGTACTTCTCTTCACTTCAAAACATCATCTCCCTTTGCTCTTTCCGACTTATTCTGTCTTTATGGATTTGTAATGTGAAAGACTCACACTTCTTCCTTGGAGGGTGGTCGAGGAGAACACAGATTTTTAAGAACACAAATGCTGGCATCATGTGTTGCAGGCAAAAATGTGCAAGTGTTTTTTTTTAAAAAAAATCTTTGTAACTCTCTAGGAATTAATAAAAAAATAAAAGCAACAGCAGATGAAACACATTCCGTTTTTCTACAGTACATTCCATTGTAGATTCTTTGTAAAATATTTAATATTTGGAGGCGCAGTGTCATATTCTTCTAGCATCCTGTTGAAATTTTCTGTTTTCCCCTCCACTGCCTCAGAACAGCAGATACAGTGAGCCCTGGGATATTGAAGCTTCTGTATCTGATTTATTGCACTTAGCATTATGGACTCAAAGTGTACCACTTATCTACAGATGATCCAACTTTATTTTTTATGGCTGAGTAGTGTTCCATCGTGTATACACGCCATATTTTCTTTGTGCTGCTATAAACATGGACATGCATATATCACTGGAATATGATGTCTTTAACTCTTTTAGAAGATACCTACAGGAAGAATAGCTGGGTCAAATGGAATTTCTATTTTTAGTATTTTGAAGAATATCCATACTGATTTCTTTTTTGCTTTTCTTTCTTTTTTGGGGTTGGGGGTGGTACCAGGGATCGAATGCAGGCCCTTGTGCTTGCAAGGCAGGAGACAGAACCACTGCTCCAAATCCCCCGGCCCAAACTGATTTATGTGGTGGTTGTACTAGTTTACATTTCTACCAACAATGTAGATATAAATTTGCTGCCATAATCTTGTTAGTATTTGTTCTTTTTCTTTTCTTTCTTCTTTTTTATTTTTTTTATTTTTTGAGTTCTTGATCACAACTATTCTTTCTGTAGCTTTTCCTTCTCTTCCGTGTCTACCCTACGCATCTTGGATCTCCATTTTGTCTCCGTCTCTCTTCAGGGTACTAGTTGTGAAAAGAGGTTGGCAGCAAAGTGTTTGCTGCTTATTCCCAACACTCCTTACTTTCTAGTTGATTTTTCCTGCACTGTAAAATCAGAAGAACAGGTTACTACCTCCCTCCCCACTCCCTGGTCTGCCTATCTGCTCATTCCTTTCAACAGTATTATTTGCCATGCACCACAGATGGAGAGTCCTCTGAACTTTATTTTCCCTTCTAGAAGGGAGTGAATGTTCCCTAGCTCTGTTTGTTACTATGATTTTGTGTCCAGAGAAACAGCTCAGCCTTGCTTTACTCCTGCTACATTCCTTCTCAGAATCCTGCTGGTTTCCTCATATTTGTCATGGTTTAGGCTGGCCTCGGTCCTAGCATACCTTTGTGGTGGATTGTTAGCTCACTGCTGGGCAAGTCTCAGCCGACTTGTAATAAGTAGGATTCTGAGCTCCAAAAATATGGGTAGACCAGCTTAGTCAGGATTCCTCATCTGAATCGCAACATACAGAACATGAGTGGAAAAAAATCTTTTCTTAATTCTCCTAAAAGTAGTGTGTTAAAAACAAGACATTTAAAAATTATGCCTACCAGTCAAATAGATCACACTCAGATAAACTAATATAATTAATTATTTATAAGACTTTTGATTATAACAATTTCACCTTCCTTATGTCTTACAAGAAGACTTCCTTGACTTTTCTAGACTTTACTTCTGTACTCTATCATTTTCCATCTTTAGTATAGATTTTGTCATTTGATGGATTACTATTTTCTATTATTGTCTGGTTTCATATGTACTTTGTTTCTTAACCTGAAGAAGTATTAATTCCTTGAGGGCAGAGGAATTACTTGGCACTAAGACTGGGAGTGTTGAATTAATATGTGCTAAATTGAATCTATCCACATTCTTCTCTACTTTCTTGATGCAAGCTTTGGTTCTGGCATAAAGGTCAACTGTTTGGCAATACAACATTAACTCAGTAAAGACAAATATTTAGTTGTGTCTGTTTTGCTTTTGGCAAAACTAGGGATTTTTTCTTCCTCACCCTAACCCAATCAATCATAAAACACTGTCTTAAACCCATAAGGTTTCTTAAATTTGTGTCCTTTACTCCATGCCTAGCATCTTCAGGTTAGGCCCATGGTCTCCTTTTGAGGTTACTACAGTATCTTCTACTGGTTTTACTATCCTTGGTGTTATTTCTCTGTAGCTGCTATGTAAAATCTGTACTTTTGCTCATTAAGTCTGTTTTTCATTTCCCTTCCCTTGCCTCTAGGCTGGCCTTGAAACTTGCTCTGACAAATGAAATGTTATGGCAGTTGTTGATGAGTGTCTTATTTTTTCACAATTCTGATTTCATA